ACTATGCCGAGAGCCTAAACACTGATAGAGATAGATAAGGATATCAAGCAGCTGAAGAACATGAAGTCTTCTGAGGTTGAATGAAGCTTGAGATGCTTTATAACACCGTCACGAAGACCGTCCGCTGCAAGATCAGAGGATGAACCCTATAAAAGCCGTTAAATTAGACAGGGAAGATGTTATATCTTGGAAACCCCAACAAATCCAATGCGTTCGAGGGTATTTTTAAGACACTAGATTGAACTGTAAGAGGAATTAATATATCTCACACTGCCGGTTTGTCAATGACATCGTCTTAGCAGCAGGGTCGTTGAAGCAACTGGACATGATGCTGCATAACTTCTTCTTCTTCTTGGTTTTGGTGGATCTTGGTATGAACTTTGACAAAATGAAGTAAATACACAATGAACATGTCATAGCCTACTACTCTGTCAAGAAAGTACCGGGAAAAGATCAATCATACATAAAATGTTTGTTATTTATCCAAATTTATTTTATCACCTTCAAAGTATGCTCCTTCAGAAACGATACACTTACGCCAACGAATAATCCATTCATCAAGACATTTTTTAAACGCTGTTTCCGGAATTGAGTTCAGTTCTTGCCGCGAATTCTCCTTTATGTCTTCTACCGATTGAAAACGGGTGCCACGAAGTGGTAATTTGAGTTTAGGAAAAAGAAAGAAGTCGGCTGGAGCCATATCTGGCGAATATGGTAGTTGCTAGATGGTATTTGTTGAGTGTTTGGTCAAAAATTTGTTATCAAATTATAAATAAATAAATATAAATAAATTTTCGTTTTAAAACATTATCCTCGGCGTTTTAAACCATTTTATAGGCAGAAAGGTTCTATTCTAATTCTTATGTAGATTCAATTTCATGGTCGTATAATTTACGTGGAGGTTGTAACTCCTCACAGAACTCAATGAAGGCCTTAATAAGGCCTTAATTTAGGTATGTTGCAATTGCACGTCGCGGCACCAAATACACAAGTTTAAGTTATAACTTACACTTACTTATGTTATCTAGTTATAGTTTAAATGATGTCATTGTCTACAGAATAGACTAAAATTCGAAACAGGTTTTGCTCATTCAACTGCGGCTGTATGACAAACACAGTTACGTCATACAGCCGCGCGTCGCATTTATTTGCAGAAGGTACCTAAGTTTAACCGTATTTCAGTAAATTAAACATAAAAGCCTGTGAACACAAGTCACGTATAAGAGTCGAACTCATTAGACGGCATATCTCTAGAAGAATGGTAACCATTAAAAGTGGTATTGGTTAAATTCATGTAAAATGAAGTAAAAAGACATGATGTAGGCGGATCACGATGCAGACATGATATACGTATGCAGAGCTTCACGTAATTATTTAGAATTTCCTCGTGGACGTTATAAATGTGATGCAATGGTCGCAAGAGTAATAGTATACTTATAACGTAAAACAATCCGATGCATAAAGCACGTATAAAATACGATCATTGAATAAAACTAGTTTCACCTAATTTCGTGTTCAATGTATACCTTGCCACAAGTCTTTAATAATAATGATTATAACATTATATAAATATACTAAGATTTTACAGCAAATTGCATTTAATTTTCTTTTATAATTTTTTTCCGATTGTTTTGGAGTTGTGGCAGTTTGCGGAAAGTAATGTATTTTTTTAGATTAGATATAAAAAATGGAAGTGCTTAATCCTAACCGAATTTGATATTTCAAGAATTTTACATAAATTGATATACAAGCCTAGGTTTTTACACTACGAGTTTTTTTAAGTCTGTTGCCTTCAAACAAATCAGGTTTTTTTTATGCTGGCCAGCTATTCGCGGTTGCCATGACGGTTATAACTCTGCACGTATTGATACTATGTACGAGGGCTGCTATTTATTTATCCGGAACTGGCCAGTTACAGAGCAATATTAAAAAAGTAATTATAACATTTAAAAATGGCTTTCTTTGGCTGAAAAATGCAATTCGTTTATCCTTTGCGGCGTCATTTTAAAAATTGCGTGTCCTTACCCTATGGATTTAGCTCGTGAAAATTTTCGTGCTATGATTTATTACGATTTTCGGCGAGGGCTAACTCAAAAGCAGTGCATCGATCAACTCACGTTCGTTCGAAAAGCACTTTGAAGCAAATGGTTTGGAAGCATTTTTTTTTTGTATAAATGGACATGTGGCTACAGTGCAACTAGAGGATCGTAAAACGGTTAATTTCGAATGGTATACGACCATTGGTTTGCCAGAAGTCTTTGAAGAAATAAGAAAAAAATAACCGACAACGCACATCATGACAATGCTAGCTGCCACACATCGGCCGAAACAACTCAGTATTTAGAAGATCAAAAGATCGAATTGACGGGTCATCCGCCGTACAGCCTTTTGTTTTTTTTTTAACGTGTGGAAACCCGCTCGGGCCGTCACCGGGGTTTGCGGCGGGGCGGTGTGTAGGAATCGAACCGACTAAAACCACACGCTGTGCCACTTCGCGCCTGAGATGGAAGGGGTCCAGGAACAGTTAATATTAAGATATTAAGAACCCTCCCAGCGCCTGTCCGCAACAGCGCGAGCACCACCTTTGGGTAAACTCTCGATTTAGGCGACGTCCGGCCGGCACACGTGGACGTCGCCTCCTCGCGGCTGGCCACTATAGCGGATGGAGGAGAAAACCCGTCCGGTCCACCCGCAGCCATACTCAGGGCGGCATGAGGCGCTGATAAGCGCGTCTACGCCGCCCGGTACGCCGGCGGGGAATTGGGTCCGAGTGAAGGTCATCCTCCTGGGCCCTCTCCGCCGTCTCCTTCTTTTAGATGACGTCTTCGCAGAAGGATGTTACCGCGTTAAAACATCTATCACTACCGGCCATGGAGCGTATAACGGCCGGTATTGAGAGATCCTCTCCGATGACTGCAATGAGGACCCCGCGCTACAGCGCCCAAGCCGGGCAAATTGCCAGTGTGTGCTGAGCCGAGTCCTCACTGCAATCGCAGTAGTGACAGGCGGGACTAGCGACCGAGTGCAGGTACTACCAAAGGAGATGTGCCCGGAAAGCACCTGCGTGAGTCGGAAGGAAAGGGAACCGTGCTGCCGCCCTGCCCACTCGATCCGCCTTACAGCCCTAACTTGGCCCCCAACGACTTCTAGTTATTCCCAACCGTGAAGAATAAATTACGTGGTCAAAGTTTTTCGAGCCGTGAAGAGGCTGTTGATGCGTTCAAAATGCACGTTTTGGAGGTACCCACATCAGTGCTACGAAAATTGGGTATGCAAAAGTGCATCGATCATCAAGGTGAATATTTGGAAAAGCAATTGAACTATAATAAATGCTATATGTTTGTTTCACTTTGTTATTCAGGATACATAAATAGCAGCCCTCGTATCAAAGTAAATAAGAAAATGTCATAATTATGTATTTTAATGCACGAAAATCTCGAAACATTTGAGTTCATTCGCTTTACATCATTAAACCTATTCCAACATATGGTTTTCAGTAAAACAATTGAATGTGCAGTAAGTGGGCCAGTATTGGTGCAGGCCAGTCATACTGCCTATTGAGTGGGCAATATAATAAAGAAGGAACTTTTCATACTAATGGAACCTTTTTAAACTATTTGGAAATTATCAATTGTGTTACCCACTTGTGCCCCCGAAGGAAATGGCAGAAGCATTTTCAATATTCCGCTAATCGTGTCTGATTCATGAAGATACACATACGAGAGTTTCATTTTCGTTAACATGTTCGTTTAGCTCGTCTGAATACAAAAGCTACAACAATATTAGAAAACAAACACTAGTAAAACGTACTATTGTCTGCGTCGTCTCTAAAAGATATGATTGTTTTTCTTATTTGTTACGTGCGAATTTTGGCAGCATCGCTTGGAAGTTTTTTTTTTTATAAAACTAACGTCAAACATACAGGGTGTAAGGGACTGAAATAGTGTATTCAGACAATCATTCGAAAATCTGTAAGTACCAAAATTCATCTTAATTTTCAATTTTTTTTTCCTTTATTTGTGGTGTAAGATGTTTCTTTTGCCAAATTTCATGATTCTATGTCAACGAGAACTACCATATTGGTTTTCGACCCAAAACCTATAGGGTCTTCCAGTTGACCTAGAATTGACAATTTTGGTTAAAAGCAAGGTCTTATAGCACAAGTAAAGAGAAAATTCTGAAAAATAAAAAAAGTTGTAAAATTAAGGTAAATTTTAGTACTTATAAATTTTTCGAAATTTGCCAATATCTTTTTATCGTGTTGACTGAGGACCTTGATTTTTATACACCTAATAGGGACCATAGACCATAGTATCTGGTATAAATTTCAACTTGCTAGGTCTACCCGTTCCTGAGAAAATCAGTGGTGACACATGGACAAGAAAGTGATCCTATAAGGGTTCCTGTTTTACCTTTTGAGGTACAGAACCCTAAAAATGATGAATTTTCTGGCAGAAAATTAAAATGATTTTTGACTCAGAATCATGGTCTGAATACACTATTTCAATTTTCGTTACGACGTCCCTTACACCCATTACAATATGTAGTAGTGCCAACAATTACAATAAAAGAATGGTTTTAGAAGGTCATTATTTTATTTAAATGCTTACTAAAGGAAGGCAGTAAATCAACAGAATGAATAGTTTTCCCTGAAGCGTGTTTCTACTTTACTGTCCCAGCTGAGGGACTTAATGCTCGTCCATATACGTAGCAACTATGTTTAACCGTGTTGTACTGATTTCTAAAGGTGTGTTAAGAAAATCAGTCGAATATAGTTAAGTTATGTAATAATACAACTGTAGGACGTCGGCTTATTGCGAACCTCGCGATCTAATCACTGCACTAGGAATAAGAATAACACGAGCTAACAAATAGTAAAGCATCCTTGCCACGTAGCTTAGGTACATGTTTATTGAAAATATTATCCTTGTCGTTTCTGTGGTGCCTTATCAAGAAATAATGAATAAATGAAAATAAAGCAAAATAAATATTTCCTTTACCTTAACTTGTCCCTTCTCTGTGATAGTAACTTGATAGCAAGGCACTGAGTCAAAACCGGGGAAATCTTCAATGTCACCAGTTTTGATATTGTAACATGCTCCGTGCCATGGGCAGCGCACCCTGCCGTCGCCCAGCGCACCGTTTATTAGCGGGGCTCCGTAGTGAGTACATTTTGTACCAATAGCAGAAATTTCACCTTTCTGCTTGATAAGTAACACGTCGCCGTCATCACCGATGTCAAACACTTTCATTTCGTTTTCTTTAAGTTCATTCTCATTACAAACAATTGATTCAACATAATTGTTGCTGGATTCTATGCGTGATATAGTGCAACCTGTTAAGAACAAAGAATTTTTTTCAGAAATACATTATATCCTTGAAAAAACGCTAAACAAAAACAATTAGTTGTTAGTTGTTCTGGAGCTGAGATCTGGCAAATCACCCTCTCACTCACAAAGGACAATCCATAAATTACGTCACGCGTTAAGGGCGCGATGGGGTCGACGAAGTGTGACTTTGTGTGCTAAGGGGTGGGATGGGTCTTAAGTTTCGTGACTTCACTTTATTTTTTAGCAACCGAAATTACTAGTATTCCCGTTAACCCCTTCCGCTAAGCTAAATTGCTAGTGTTATGAGTGGGTTCAAGTCAGTAGTGTACTAGTCAGGAATGTTTAGATGTGAAATTGTAAATATGTTTAGTACGGAAAGGGGGTCAAATTTTAATGTGACCAGGAGTGACAAGGAGGCCCACCTGGTGGTCAAAATACATTAAATATGTGACGTAATTTCCACACAACAACTTAGTTCTCCACATTAAAGCACTCAACTCTTAACTATTACTAAGGTTACTCCAACTGTCCATGTTATCCCATCCATAACCCACATGCTGTTACTGTAGACAGAACTCCTAACTTTTTATACCATGCTTTCCATTGCTAATAATTTACCTAAACCATAATGTTATTGTTGATTGTTGTTTTCTATGATTGCTTACAATACAATAATGAAATTTGGTTTTAAGTTATTCTCATGATGCAATTGAGGAATAAAAAATTGAAATTAAATGCTACATTGAGAGTTTATTTTACAAATTTAAAAAACAATCCCCTTGGATTAAATGTCTGGATTTTTCTTAATACGCTGGGAAAAAAGTTCTCCAAAATGTAAGATAGCATTATGCTAGCCCCTACTGTATTGATGATTATATGGAATTACAGATATTTGGAATTTACAGGAAATAGCACCAACACTATAGAAAATCTGAAATTAAAGTAACAGGTAGGTACTTTAAGGATACAATGGAAATTTACAGCTGAATACATGAGTATAAATTAGCATAGAGTAATTCACTGTCATTGTTTTTATTGAGTACTAACTAATTTACTGCGACCTTAACACACTTAGCATTTTTAACCTCAGTCCAAATGACTGTTACGAGATCTCATTTACTTTTTTATTTTAAATAGTATAGACTATTAAATTAGGATAACAAATAAGTTGCTACTTCTTCATCTCTATTAAATAGGTCATAAAACATATCAAATACCTTAAGGCACATAGTTATTATTATATTTACTAATTTTATTATTATTTAATAGCAAAAAAATAATGTTTACTTTATATTATTTTGCAAAAAAAAAGAGTGGCAGGTAGCTTTAACTTTAAAAATAGTACTGTTGGGAATGGCTTGTTAATATAAAGTATATACACAATAGGATAGAAATAAAAGATGACAAAATTATGAAACAAAAAAAAACAAAAAAAAGTTGTTAGGCTTAACTACATCTCTTTCAAATTATTAATTTATTTATACTGATGTTATTTGAAGATCATATTATGTTATTTGAAGATTATAATAGGCTTTACTATACAGTTCTGCATTTATATAATCCTTACAGTCGGATCGTGGATTATCTTCATCCAATATGGTATAAAAATAAAATCGATAGTTAAATCTTAAAAATACTTACGACTTTCAACGACACTGGAGCCTTGACTAGGATTAGGACTATATGACCTTGACAATGAACTGCCCATCTTGTTGGACAATAGCACTCCTAGAAGAAAAATAATTACAGAAGCTTGATATATAACGTGAAAATTAAATCTTCATGGTGGCCAAAATTAAAAGACAGACATCACATTATGGGATGTCACTTGATAGATTAAATATAAATTAAATAGCACTGCTATTCTCACGTTATAAAATTATGTTGTCATGTATTGTGAAAGGTTTTACCTTGATTGAAACGGCTAGTAACTTTTTTGACTGCCGCACTGGTTTGACGGAGAAGGAATAACAACATTACCATAAAGTTTGTATGCCTTCGATTCGATCGACCTATTTACACATGACATTAATGACAACAAAATGTTATAAGCACAAAAAATCTTATCAGCTGATAAGGAAAATTATAGGTATACCAGAGTTTCATGACATGGCAAATTGCAAAAGTTAATACTCGTATGATCCTAAGTAAGTTTAAACCCATCTATGTTTTCGACTGAAAGATGTAGATTGTATCTTTGGTCATGAATAAAAATAATTAAAAAAAAAAACTCGTATGAGTAAACAATAAAAGGGAACTTGGATTAAACGATTGAAACTGATTCGAGTTTACAAAAAAAACAAATATCCTGTGGAGCTTCACGTTAAAAATGCATTAGGTTTCAAGTTTCTAAAAGCTGTGCCAACTGCGGTGACAATTTTGTGTCAATGCCAATCCGCATTTGGTTTTTGAAAAATACCAACGGATTTATCAAATCGCGTAAAACACACAATTTAGAATTTAGAACAGATGATTACATTCGTTTAAAAATTACATAATATATTTTGAATAATTACGCTATAATTTCGCTATGAAAAATTATTTAGACACACAACTAAATTTTAAAATGGACATGCTGGGGCAACAATTGTTTTTTGACATTTTATTGCCTCTTTGTGGTTGAGTACTAAACTGATTTCATTATGATATAAATAACGATGATATAAATTTTATCGCAAAATTTTCAAAAATCGGCAACGCATAAACCAGTTGAAGTCGCATTCAGGCCAGTATATAATGAACAGATTTTAAACATTTTTTAAACTTAAAATTTTAGCTAGAAATGAGAAATGATTATAGAAACCGCACTTGCCTTTCTTTAAACAAAATTAATATTTTTTATTTATTTTATCTTGTAATATAGGCAACGAGAGAGATGAATAATATAGATGGTTCCCTCTATTTCCTTCTAGTCGAGCGATAAATAATATTCATTCATGTAAGTTTATTTCTATGCTTTTTTATGCTGTAATTCTGTGTTACAGTTCAGCTACTTTGACCTACAATTTTTTTGGCTTTAAAAAAATAGTGTACCTAGTCTGTGCTCTAAATATTATTTATCTACATCTACATCGAAGTTGATTGATACGGTGAAAGACAGACGTGGCTAGCAATAGCAAAGTATAATATAATATGTTTTTCTAAACTGTATATTGTGATTATTCGAGAGAATGTCGGATGCCATTGTAGCCAAAAGTCAGCCAATACCTGGAGATCCAGAAAAAAAAGGCTGGCTATTTAAGTGGACCAATTATTTAAAGGGTTATCAACGGAGATGGTTCGTGTTGTCGAATGGATTGTTGTCGTATTACAGGTAATAGTTTGCTTTTGTGGTTTTTCTCAACTGCAGTCTGTAGGTATTTAATATGTCAAAAGCCTTATTTACATTGATTTTTTTCTGAATGACGCAGTAGTCTTTCTAAAATATGATGTCAGAAAGTCGAAATTAGAAACATTAGTAGTTGTAATAGATTCTTATAGGTTTCAGATTTCTGTGTAGTAGTAAGTTACTTTCATTATTAAGTGAATTACGATTAAAATTAAATAACTTTGATTTTAGTTACATTTTATTGGGAATAAAGTACTAAATGTCATTAATATTTCATGAAGAAATATTAATGACCATTAATGGTGCTTACAGTTTTTTATAACTATTGTAGACTAGCTGACCCGCGCAACTTCGTCTGCGTCTCTCAATAGTAATACATTTTCTCCGTTTTTGAAACATTCTGCATTGGTGCTTAGCGTGATGATATATAGCCTATAGCCTTCCTCGATAAATGGGCTATCTAACACTAAAAGAATTTTTCAAATCGGACCAGTAGTTCCTGAGATTAGCGCGTTCAAACAAACAAACAAACAAACTCTTCAGCTTTATAATATTAGTATAGATAACTAAAACATGTCAAATTAGAATATCATTTCTTCTAACATCTGGAATATTGGCAAATCGTCATAAGTGCTAGGTATATTTTAAATTTGCAATATGTATATCAAACATATTAGTAATTATTAGGGTTTTATACCATAACAATGAAAACTTAGAAATAGGTAATGGGTCCAATATTGAAAACCAAAATAGTTTATCCCTATTTTTTAAAAATTAAGTATACATAATATAGAGTAAGCATTCAAATTCATGAATGTTATGTTACATAAATATGCTTTGAATACATGAATAATGTGCTAAAGCTCTAAATAAATAAAAATAAAAAAATTTTGAGACCCAACAGCCACGAGTACAGCAATCAAGATCATTTATCACTAGATGGATATTAGTAGGGGAGCCCCTGATGCGAAATGGGGATTTACTCGAACATAATGGGGACCTATTGCATTTGGATGACCATGTAATAGAATGAATAAAACTTATATAATGTTTCCACTTTCAGCAGTGGGAAAAGCTTCTACAGGATTTCAAAACTGTAAGGGGATGAAATAAAAAAAAATATTCAGGGTCTTCAGATATTTTGCGGATATATTATTTGGACGCCAAAAATGCTCCTATTGAAAGGTCTGACGATTTTAAAGTGACACAAGCGGTAGCGAGTTATCGAAAATGCAAACTAGAAATTCTAAAAATCACCATTTTGAAATACCTGAGCGTTTTTGATTTAATACAGACTATTCAGCTTGATGTCCCTTATACCCCATACTATCCAAAAATCTGACCATAATTTTGCAGGGTATTGTAAATCTGACGTATTTTTTATAAAATGTGACAAATAAAGGCACAAAAAAATGATGTGGAACATTTAAAGAAGATTTCCATTGTTTGCTTCAAAATAAAAAGAAAATGACAAGATCATGTGTTTTTTTTGGTACTTTGTGACCCCTCCCACTGCTTTATGTTACGCTCAAATCGTCAGATTTTTTTAAATACACACTAATGTCCATGTAATTGACACAACTTATACTATATTACACGCTCGAGTATTTTTGGCCATTGATTTTTTTTTAACTAATCTGTTGGGCTGACCTAGACGATCCCCCCTATATGTAATCACTAGTTGAGTGCCTCAATCCTCCATGTGAGTGTAAGGTATTCCTCCTATGTTAATCTGACATGCTCGAGTAAATACCCTCCCCTACTATATGTTTTGTGTACTCAATAAGTTTAGTGTTTCTTTAGTTTCAACATGCATAAATACTGTACATGGACTGCACATATGGTGTAGTGGTTTAAGTGGTCGCCACGCCGCTTACTACTATGCTGAGTGTTGTGGGTTCGATCCCCACATGGGAAGACACTTTGTGTGATCCACAAATTGTTTTTCTGAGTCTGGGTGTTCTTTGTGTCTGTTATATGTATGTTTGCAAAGTCCCCAGCGACACAGGATATATTCCTGATGCGGGAGTTGTATTTTTTAGGAAAAAGAAATACATAATGGACGTTATACTGTAGACAAGGAGTTTTTAATCTAGTTTTTTTAAGGACATCTTATCAACGCCATCTAGTTTCAGACTAAGCAGAGCTTGTACTATGAAAGCTAGATTGACTGATAGGATACTTATATACTTTTTTTGTAAATAAATACATATTGTACATAGAAAACACCTAAACTCCGATACAAAGGATACAAACATTTGGTCGGACACGGGAATCGACCCGAGACCTCAGAACAGCAGTCGCATACGCTACCACTGCGCCACCGAGGCAGTTACAGTAAACTTGTCAAGTTGATACAAATTTATGGAATAGCATTCATGGGCAGACCCAATTTGCTTAACAGCGCTTTCGAAATTACTAGAAAGATCCCTAGTATTCGATAGTCCATTCCAGACAAACAGAATATCCCAGAATCAGTCACGCGTTACTTGCTGCGCCATCTAGCGCTGCAAGGATCAGAACTATTAACCAAAATCTTAATAGATATAAAGTTTATCTATTAAGATTTTGGTTAATAGTTCTGATCGTTACCAGATGGCGCTGTCCTCCACAATCCATAGAATCGAACCATTTAATCATATGGCGCAAAGTATTACTAAGACTAGCAGATTATCGACTTAATTTCTTTTTTAGGTTACAATACGAAATAGTCATATTACAGTCAATGTTGCATGTTTAATACTTTACTACGAAAATACCTTGTATGACAGTTGTGAAATATTTATATTTATCATACATAAATTTTATGAATATTTATTTACAAATTATTACTATACATACATACAGTAATATATACATAAGTAAATACAAATACATACACTTATTTTCAACTATGAGAGACAGATAATAGTCTTGCACCTACCGTATCATTTTTCTACATCACCCGATGCTGACCTGGCTGAGAATGCCTTGGGCATTAAGTCCGCCTGTGTACAACTTGTGCATTAAGTTATAAATAATAGCGACGTAAGCTGGTCCCGGTGGGACACCAGTCTAAGTCCCGCCAGCCGTTTAACGCACTTGTGTTTGAAGTTATAATATTTCTGTAGTTGGTAAATAATATATACCGCAAAAAAACTCTTACGAGTCTGCAGTCAACTGGTTAATATGAACTTTATAATTTTTGGGAACCTGATTAGTGAATCACTATTTTCTTAACACGAATGGACTTTAGTGTAACTTTTCTTAAAAAACAACAGGTCTTAAACTATTCATTCCAGAATCTTATTAATGGCTTAATATAATAAAAATAATCCTTGCGAATGGTTTAATCAGTTGCGTAAAATGTAGAAATACCTAAATTTAAAAAAATCTGTACTGTAACAAAGGGTGCATACAATTTTAGTGCAAGCCGTGGTTCCCAAACTAACGTGAGTTGTACATATGTGGGGAAATACTTTTAGCAAAGTTCCAAAAAATATGATAATTACCTGAAAGTAGTTAATTTGATTTACTTTATAAACTGTACAAATCTCATTAATATCCATCTTATATTACTATTTGCCGTTATTCATTGAACTACGTCGTTACAAACAATAACCTTTCTACATCGTAGCCAAAAAAATCATAAAAATTCTATCATGTCTTAATGTGTTAACACATTAAGTTTATTCGAAGGCGAAACGTTTAGGAAAACTAAATTACGTTCAACTTTGACTTAAAATAAAACGACTAAGAAATGCAAGTAGTTAATTGGATTTCGTTTCATTCCATACTTACTTAATAACTGTAGGTATATATTTATATTTTTTACGAACAAACCCAATTGTGTCTATAATAAAAGTAGCCTAAGTTACCTCTTATTAGGGCAGATAATAATAGGGGGTTAAAGTATGAAATTGCCGTTGTATAGTAATAGATACTTTGAAAATTACAAATCTCATAAGTATCCATCATTATTTTACTAGGTGTACAGGATCTCCCGTTCTTCATTGAACTACGTTGTTACAAACTATAAACTTTTTACATCGTAGCCAAAAAATCATAAAAATCCAATCCCGTTTTTTTTAAGACAAAACGTGGAGGAAAACCAAAGTACGTTCATCTTTGACTTAATCTGACTTAATATTAAACGGGTAAGAAATGCAAGTAATTAATTGGATTTCGTTTGATTCCATACTCACGTATTAACTGTGGGTACATATTATACATATATTATTATTTATATACCTACAAGATACTCAAAATATCAACGCTGCGTTTGAAGAGGAGACTGTCAGTGAACGTACCGAGCGTTTTTGGTTTAAACGCTTTCCTAATGGAAACTTCGACTTGAAGAACGAACCACTTGGAAGACCGGAAGCAGTACAAAATGCTTTCACACTGTTTGTTGAATCTAGAACCCCAGAGTTCTATCGTAAAGGGACAAATGAACTTCCTTTTAGATGGCAGCAATGTATAGATAATGAGGGTAAATATTTTGATTAAATAAATTTGTTACATCATAGAAAAAAACTACGTTCAATTTTTTAGTACAAATCGGCAATTTCATACTTTAGCCCCTAATGTGGTAATGTAAAGCCGCGTATCGAGTGCGCGCTCCAAGCTCTCGAACACAGGTGCGCGCGGCAGGCGCGCGTAGTCGATACCGGTTGGCGCCCGCGCCCGCGCCGTGCCGGCTCGAACATGAAGCGCGGCGATCCACCCTGCTGTCGATTTTTAGGCGCACACCAAAGGATTCTCAGGGCGGGGCGCGTTCGCCATTGGGACAGACGTTTGGCTTGTTCGTGTTCGTGAATCTGCGACCATGGATAATGAGAAGTGCAGAGTTCTTATACAGCTGTAGTATGGACAAAAAGAAGTGTTGTGGAACAGCAAATGTTCCACAAATTACAACTTATAATTACAAAATATTCTAATCAACCAAGCACTTTTCGTTTCTTTTTAGTTATTTTATGAATGATTATGAAGGCGGCAGCACAAGCTCGCACAAGTCCGACGTCCATGGTGAGTAGTGACCCGACGAACTTTGGATCAGCGGCCGCGCGCGGCATCCGCGCTCAGTCGATACGTAGCTTAAATCTTTTGCACCCTTTTGCTCCGCAGCCAGTGAGACAAAAATTTGAAACATTTTGGTTCTGTCCAAACATTGAGTTGAGTATAAAGCTGTAATTACAAGCAGACACTTCAATTTTTTTATGGATTTATTTAAATAGGTACTAAAATCAATGAAAGGAAAGATTTATTTCTTTGAAATCGATAAAGTCGGAAATTACTCAGGAGTTTTATAAACTATTCATTCTTAGACAACCACTTTACCAATAAATACCTAACATATATTCGTAATTATGTATGTATACCCAGTCAAGCCCGCTAGCAAACTAGTATTTAAAAATGAGTTTTTTAATTTTCTCCATTATGATAATTAAAGCTATACTAAAGCTAGTAAAGTATACACTAAAGTAAGTAAGTATACTTAAAGCTAGTAAAGTATACACTAGAGACTGTTATTATAGCATTAGTGAAAACCTGAATGACAAAAACGACTCTAGTGGAACGAAATCGCAACCAAAAAATTAGGTACTTATATAAATAATTTGAAATATCTTTTCCTCTCTCATCTATTTTTGTGCCCGACAGGGTCCATGATGATCTGAACTTACATTTATAAGTTAGCACTTAAGCATATATTGTGGCATGCCATAATCATATTGAGTACATAACAAACTTATACAAATATATCTGGTTATTTTTGTAGTGTTTTACTAGATTTCGGAATATACAGTCATCACATTTTCTTATGTTTTCAGCGCTATTGGTAATCAAAAACATGAGAAGGCCTCTACTAATCTAAATTTAAATAAACGAAATAATTCCTCCCAGAGTCTGTTTAGATATTATATAACACCAACTCGATTGTATGAAGTTTGTGATGCTACGGAGACGAATAGCGCTCGGTACACTGTTCCTAATTTATCATTTCATCGATGTCATGTCATAAAATACCATATACCCCTCTTTGCACCTAATTTTATATTAGCGTTTACTGAAATAGAAAATTTATTTAGCCACTTTTGCTACTTGTATTTTTTTCTAAAGTTTTTTTTATTACAACGGTACGTAAGATTGTTAATGGCTATCTTGGTATTGTTTTCTATATTTAGGAACAGATGTTCTCTAATAAATAGTTCCAAATTCACTTCCCATTTTTTCCGTGACAGTATCCACTTTTGGAATGTGATAACGAATCCAGTTCAGCCCCGAGTATGCAGAATTGTTGATCTGAGATCTTTGCCAATATTTTCTAAAACTCCACGTTCATTGGTATATTGCCAACAGTGCCACATTATGCGACTGATTAACATAATTTCTTCAGTTAAGCGATATCGATGCGCGTGCATTTCTTACAATCTTTTATCCCGCATGAGACAGATTTGCCGTGAAGAAAAGGAGGTTACCCATTACAAGTATTGTTGTTAACTCCACAAACAAAGCTAATTGTAAGTAAGACTTGCGTTTGCGTCGGTTAAATACGAGATTTCAATCCGCAACCTCTTGATGACAAGCTCATACCGGTTTTGGGCTACCACGCCACTTGCACATTTTCTTACACAAATTAAGTCAAAAATAATAAAACAAAGATATATGAAAGACACTTAGTAGGCGCGGCCCGTCGTAACTATTCACTCAAAAAATATTAAAATCTTGAACATAGATAGTTTCTAATTCATATAAATTTACTGAAACCTGTTTTTCACATGAGTTGTAGGATGTCTGAAAATTGATTACATAGCCAAAGAAGGTTTGGTGTCAGACAGGCCATCTCTAAGAAAACCAACATGAAGCCTACACGAAATAGGGAAAATAATTTATGAATTATATTTTGTTCCAGAAATCAAGCAGAGGTATCTCACACCTGTCGGGGCACAATCTCCCTGCTAGGGGCCCTCATCCACACAGCTGACTCGTGTACATTTGTAATCAGTAATGGAGGCACTCAAACCTTTCACATTAGAGCCCACGATGAAGTTGAAAGACAAAGCTGGGTTACTGCATTAGAACTTGCTAAAGCAAAAGCAATGTATGTATTCGTTACAGTATTCCCGTTGTGATTAGCTATTTTTTATCTAGCTCCTTAAGTCATAAGTTAAACGATAGCTATACCATAATGAGTGAGTCACGTTGATAATATTATAAAGTCATTAAATAGTTCGAAAGATTGTCTATGTTTGTAACACATTCGTACGTACTAACGAAGCAGTTGCCCGATTACTTGTTAATCTTACTAAATAATGAAAACGTTTTTTCCTCTGTGGTAAAAAATAATTGCTCAGTATTAATAAATGATGTACTGCATTGTCATTCATTTTTAAATATTTTTGTTAAAGAGGTTAACTTAAAACAATTTATTGTGTCTACAAGAAACAGTTGTTTCAATTATTTATTCTTATTTATTAAATTTTCTTTTGATACTTAATTACATATATTTTTTTTTAATTATTTATTTCAGTCGAGCACAGGAATCTGATGACGACGAAGATCAGATAGGCACTGGTGTAGTAGTGACTTCTGCCGATGGTGACAGTGAAGACGCAGGAGGCATAGCCCGGGAGTTAGGCGCCAGATTCCATGATTTAAGAACCTGTTCAGAGCTGGTGGCTAGACATGGAGCTGCTTTGCAGCGATCCCTCGTAGACCTAGAGATCCCACCTACAGATACTACAAAACAGGTGTCTGAACGAGCCACGTTGTTCAGGATATCGTGTAATGCTATGATGAATGTAAGTATAGTGTAACTATAATAAACATTCTTTAGCTGCATTATGCAGGATAGAGGCTTATTTTTTTCGTTTCATTCTTTTTCGTGATTTGAAACTATTGTTGTTGAGATAAGAGTCTCAGCAATCTTTATAATCACTTAGTTGTATTGTATTCATTAAAAAATATAACAAAAGGTCTAATATCTACTTCGATTTGTACGGTAATTTGATAGCCTCTTTATTTGCACATAATGCAGTAAACTTGAAAAATATCTGAATAAGTATTTCAGGGTCGCTATTACACAATACATGTATTATTTACATAACAAATAAAATTTAAAATTAAATATAAGGTACCGTTACGTATTACTGTTAAATAATTACCGAATAGGCAAACCACACCACGTAGATTGAGCAATATAGAAGTAAGGAAGAGTTTCTATTGTAAATGCGCATAATACTGCTACGTTAAGTATTGTAAAGTTTAAAATCTCAGAGATAATTTTCACAGAACCGATTATTCTATACCTTAATAGGATATATCCAATGATGCCAGCTTCCGTAACTCTGTATAATCTTAAGCGCAAATGAAATACGTAAGTAAATTGAAGTGAAAAGAGCAAAACAGAGAGAGCGTAGAAATTCGTGATATCTGTAAATGTACCCGGTCAATAGATTAACCTTTCTAAGGAGAAACGGGTGGGGGGGGGGGCTGTGAAACAGATACGTACAAAATTATTGTGAAGGTTAAAAGCAATAGCCAAATTATAGCTTTAGCTTTTATCATAAATTAATTACAACCATTACATTTGGAATTCTAAACACGTTTGACTCTCGGTCGTTTGACTCTAATTAATATTAAAAATCAACAAAAATAAAGCGTGCAAGAACTACAGAATAGAGGTCCTTATATTTCAGGAGGTATAAGTAGAATAAGAAGAGCTTTAGGATGGAGGTATTAGGATACGTGACAAAAAGATCGGGACAAAAGAATCGGACATAAATCGGCCTAATCTTAAAGAGTGTCTTCCAGAGACAGTAGAAAATCTGGAGTTCATCAAGAAATCTGTCTTGGATTAATAATATAAGCGACCGGGAACGCCTTGTGCCTCAGGACACCTGCCTAAACTAGTCTTAGGTGGGATAGTCTATCACTCTTACCACGATAGATCAATAATTAAAAAAAAAATTCATTTATAAATTTCGGGAGTTTAGATTTCTTCTCCTTTATGAAAACCTTATTTTTTAAAGTATTTAGAAGAAGTAATAAATGTAGACTGGTTAAATATCATCATTATTGGTTTTAGTACAGATAAAGTGTTGAAAAATATTCCTAAAAAAATACTTGCTGAAAATACTAAAGATTATTATGATAATTGTTTTGGTTTAATTTGATTCGAGAGTATTATGATGATTTTTTACAAAAGAAATTTAACTAATTATCTGTAATCAATTGGTATCAATTCACTGTAATCGATTGGTTACACAGGCTTGTTCGGAGTTCATGAGCGCGGCTGCTGCGTCGAGTGCGCGAATGAGCCGTGCGCTGCAACATGAACGCGAACAGAAGATGCGGCTCCAGGAGGTGGTCGAGCAACTCGCCCGACAACACGACAATCTAGAGAAGACAGTCACGGCTCGGAACACCACACAAGCGGGTAAGTTTTCTGTAAACATTGGACCACTATTTTACATTGAATTTCGACTTCATTTAGACGTGCTCATACTGAACCATCGATAACAAGTATTCTTACATTGCTTTAAGCAATTAAAAAGCGCTAAGACTGCTTTTGCTACAGACAGTCAGACAGTTGCGGATTTACCAGGCTGAGTAGGCTGGAGCCTAGGGCGGCAAATTCTAGGGGGCCGTAAATTTGGATCAATTTTGTCTTAAATATTTAATTTTTTTGTCTTAAAATAAAACGAGAAAAGAAGTCTCGAAAATTTAACACAAGTTACAATATTTTGCCGATTACTGTATTTGAAAAATTACTAAAGGTTTCGTGAAATATACCTTTGTGATTTTTAAAATATTCGGATAACACGGTTTAACATTCAAATTTGAATTAGTAATTTTGACTAAGTTTTTTACTAATCATTACTAAGGGCGGCATGAGGCCTTGGAATACGCGCCTCCGCCACTTGATTCGCCGGCGACGAATTATGATGGCCTACGGATACGATACGATGGCCTCGGTCATCTCGCCGCTTCCTATCACGCTGAGTGGTGTGGGTTCGATCCCCATATGGGACAACACTTTGTGGAATCCGCAAATCGTTGTTTTGAGTCTGGGTATTCTGTGACCGCTTCATTTGTGTATATTTGTAAAGGTAGGATATATTCCTAGGGCGGGAAATGTATATTGAAAAAAAAAGTGTCCAGGCGCGTTGCACTTTGAAAGTCGGCCTCTTGGGCTGTCACCCGTACCCTTACTCGGACTGTCATCGGCGAAATAAATTACGCTCAGCCCGAGGGGGAGTCTCCTAGAAGGAGACTCCCCCTCGGGCTGTTCAACAAGAGGGTTCCAAGAACAGACCCTTGTATTCCCAGTCAAGAGCTGAGGCCTCAGATATCCATCTTGGTTCTTATAAATGACGGTACGTTCTTCTAAATGGTCTGCCATTAGCCACCTCAGGTACTCTGACACCACGTGATAGTGGAGTGCCTCTCTGTTGTAGCCGAATGGAAGGCTACTGTAAGCATTGGCGATGTCCAAAGATACCCCCAATAGCCGGCTCACTGCCTCCTCGGTCACGATCCTGAGGCGCAACCGGATCCGGATGTCCCGCCGTGACGGCCCGAGGGGGTTTCCACACGTAAAAAAAAGATTAATAAATTGCAGAGGTTAGTCGTCACAGTGGCGGCAAGAATTTAATAGCCTACAGGAGATAAATATGTAAATCCGCCACTGCAGTCAGACGTTCGTTATCTTGAGGATATTAGTATGTACAAAATATATGTAAGTAAGCTTGAATTTATCTATAATGATAAAAATTATATATTACACTAAATTTAATCGTGCCATTTGATAAACACAATTAGCAATGTTCACCTAGCGGCGGTGAACCGGAATGTGTTTTGTGCGTTTATAGATTATTATTTTTTACTACTAAGTGTACAAACAAGAATACCTGTCTGATGGTAAGCAAGTAGATACCAAGATCGATCTGTAAGTACCCGTTTTAATAACAGGTGGAGGTACTGAATACAGTTTTCATTACTGTCGTGTACATGTGTCATCTGTCAAACGGCAAAATACAAACTGAGACTGATTTATGAGTTACTTTTTAAGTAAAATAATAATTGCAATCTAATGTAACACATGCCTTCTGTGTGTTTCTATAAAGTGCAAAAGGTGCAGTTTCGAGCCCTAATTCGCTTTCTTTTTTGTTCGGGAAAACGCGAAGGTGGACTGACTGACTGTGGGAGATTTTTTCACCATCTATGACACCAACTAGATATTGTTTTAACAAATTTAGACATTTTCGTAAATCTGCTTTTGATGAAAAGTGACCACAGTGTCAAGGCCCCCAGGAATCACAGCATGAAAAACCTACGTGAATTAGCAGAGGCCGTAGGAACATGTTTCACGCGCAATAAAGCTTATTAATATTATTTCAATACATGTAGATATTTACAACTGTAGCCGAACTTTAAAGAAGTAGCCAAAAGGGGTTTTACAGCAAATGATTTTTCTTTATAAAATAATGGATACTTACAATTTTTACTTACAGTATCGTTTTAGGATAAGGATCCTGTAAAAACACAGTAAATGTTTTAAATAAAAAATGTTCGTCCATGTCGTACGGAAATGTAATAAATATTTACCACGATAACTTACACACGAAATAGGTATTGGTTCTATAAATGTCTCGTTGCTCACTTATGTATCATAGGATTCGCAGAGATCCTGAGCAATGAAGTATTGGATCGATTCAATAAGTAATTGAAGAAGAAGTAGACACATTATGCTACGAAAAATTGTTGTTTCATGAAAACTAGACATTAGCAAGTTCTGTCTTAAGAATTACCGCCATATCCAATTATCCATCATATCCAACCGATCTGGCTTCCTAATAATTTATCTGGATCCATTAAACGTCAACTATCGTACAAACTTGCGTGTTGTATGGTTTTGTAATTTTGGTAAACAACAAATAAATACATCAGATATCAAACGAAATTTCAAACGACGACATTACAATCAACACAAAACAGACCGTTAAATTGAATCGTAAACTTCTCTAAAGATGAATGATGTTATTTGTCATTTAGCATAACGAGAATTAACTTCTATATTAGAAGAACTACGTTCGACGAGTGCCAAAATTTATAAATATATATAAAGCTACCATTTAGACATGTACCTATTGCCACCATTAGACATGAACCTATTTTTAAAATAAATGTAGTAGTTGTATAAACATTAAGTCTTGTATTCCAAATATGACATTCTCTTGTGCTGTATATTTGTAGAATCTTCTTCACGTATTAATATCGTAGATAAATAATATGCTGATTATAACATTGATTATTCAATTGACAAAAAAATTACAAATGCGGGGTTTTCACAAAACTGTACCAAAAATATGCATGACAATCATCATAAAAGAGTTCTCGTGTACGCGTTGACTTATGTTGGACACATAAATTCTAAAATAAAATAATAATATGTGCAAACGGACGCAATGCTCTACTAAGTGAAATTGACGATTAACATTATTTTGTCTACAAATAGGGCACCTTGCGGACTTCTGCCATATTTATCAGTTAGACTTTATATTTAACCAATGAGTGAAGTGACATTTGGTTGACCTGTGCCATGATTGAATTACAAACGGCTTCGTTGTGTTGCAAGTACCTTCAACGAAAACGGCACCTCATATATGGGCTTCTTGACACCATTTTGAAACGAATGTAAAAGTCTGAGTTTCTTTTCGTCATCACGTAGTGGAAGAATAATGTGGGCTTGACGTTTTGAAGAATTGCTGTAATAGAAAATAACTTAAACTAAACCCTAGACATACTATTCATCATTTTCGTTAGTTCTCAAGTACTTCCGTTGTAGTTATAAATCATTTGTAAATAGAAAAGAAACTGCCTTCAAAAAATACCCAGGAACTCAAAAGCAAAAAATTATTGGTATTTACATATGATTTCCTATCCAAACCCATGAATCAAATTTATACATATTACAATTCCAGTACAAAAATCAACTAAACTAAATGTAAGTGTTTAGTTTAGTTGATTTTTGTACTCTCGATACGATAGGTCTATTAACAGTGATCTTAATTACTACTATTTTTTGTTTTTTAAAAAGACAACATTAGGCATATAGGAATATATCCTGTGTCGCGGGGGACTTTACAAACATACATGAAACGGACACAAAGAACACCCAGACTCAGAACGATTTGGGGATCGAACCCACAACACTCAGCGTAGCGTGGCGACAGCTTAAACCACTACGCCATCCGTGCAGTCAAATATATATATACCTATACCTACGATAAAACTATTTTAATTTTTTTATATATATTTTTATTAGAATTTAAAATTTTCTATTTACACAATTACAATGGGACAATTCTTGTCTAAACCTGTTATCTTTTAATTTAAATAAAATATTATATGTGCTAGACACCTACTCCTTTTTTGTAGTAGGTTAAAAAAATTTTTTTTTTGTTGAACGTAGATTTATTTTGTTTATATATAATATAGGATTATATATAATATAGGAGGGATGAGGAAAATGTGGCGAAGAAAGTTTTAGGTATGAGAGTTGAAGGGTACAAGAGAAGAGGCAGACCGAAGAAGAGGTGGATGGACTGCGTCAGGGAGGATATGGCTAGGAAGGGAGTAAACAGTGAGATGACGCATGACAGAGTAGAATGGAAAAATCATACATACTGCGCCGACCCCAAATAAAATTGGGAAAAGGGTAGGCAGATGATGATAATATAATATGGGTAGGCCAACTAGACACACTGTTCCAATGAGACAGAGGTCACGGAGTAAAAATATCATCGATGTATACAATTTGCTGTAGCTACGAACTATGTATTAATATTGGAAATAAACTTTATTATTATTATTAATTTTTGTTGATTTTCTAATAACTGCTCCATCGATTTCAAGAAAATTTAAATGGGAGCACTTGGGAAGTATACCTTTTAAAACAAAAAAGAACTTTCCAAATCGGTTCAGGCATCTTCGAGTTATCGGTGATCATACGAGTATATAAAAAAATCCGATAAATTGAGAATCTCCTCGTTTTTTAACTCGGTTAAAAATAGAAAGTGAAAAGAGAGAATCTGGACGAAAAAAGAACTTCCAGATGACTGGAACGACTGGACTGGGCTGCTCATAACCAAAAAGGAGATCATAGCCAATGCAGTAATTGCAGAGGTATCACGTTGCTCTCGGTACGAAGGTTTTCTGCAATATTACCCTGGACAGGCTATCGGCGACCGTCGAACCTCTTCTTCGCAAAGAGCAGGCTGGCCTCCGCCCGAACCGATCGTGTATCTACCAAATCAATACTCTGCGCATCATCCCAGAACAGGCATCAGAATGGCAAAGGGAAGTGTACCTAACCTTTGTAGACTCTCCGACATTGGGGTCCCACCGAAGATCATCAACTTACTGAAGGCCATCTATAGGAAATATTCCTGTAGAGTTACACGTTGCGAATGCGTTCGTTCGACAATGTTGCCTGCTTTCACCTCTCCTCTTTCTAGTTGACCTAGACGGGATTATTCATCGCGCCTATCAGAGCAAGCGACGTGGGATAGAATGGGGTATAACGTATGTCCTAGAAGACTTGGACTATGTCGATGACCTCTGCCTGAGCCCCTCTCCTCTGAGTCACACGCACCGCGATATGCATTCCAAATTAGATGACTTGCATCGAGAGGCAGGTATAACGGATCTTAAAATCAATAGTCAAAAGACCAAGGAGATGCGATCTGGTGTAAAAACTCGCACTCCACTGCGGATTGATGCCAAGGACGTGGAACGCGTCCACAATTTTACCTACCTCACAAGCGTCGTGTCGGAAAAAGTGGGTACTGAGGAGGACATAACCTCACGCATTGCCAAGGCTCGAGCTGCCTTCGCACAACTCCGACCCGTGTGACAGTCACGAAAACTGACTCGAAGGATTAAAATCAAAGTATTCGGGTCTGCTATGTGGGTGCGAAACGTGGAAGGTCACAAAAGCCATCTTGAACCGGTTCCAGGTCTTCTTTATCCGCTGCCTTTGCTGAATTCTTGGTGTTACACTGGCCCGAGGAGATCTCCAATGAAGATCTGTTGGAACGCTGCCATAAATGACCGTTCGAACTCCAGATCAATCGCCGCAAGTGGAACTGGATCGGCCACACTCTGCGGAGGACTACTGTGGACACCCTCTGCCCCATCTCGGGGACTTAGGATATTAAGTTTTGTGTGGGAAACCAACTTTTCATTGATCATATGTTTGAATAATTACTTGAAACCATAAAGGGACACAAACAAGACCGCTTCGAAAGTAAGAAGCAGACTGACAATATGGTGAGTTCAAAATACCATTAAATTCTCGTAGTTCTTCAGCATCTTAGTTAAGTAGTCGTTCGCGACGGCAACTAGGTATACACGAATATCTCATTCCACGATTCATCATCATCATTCTATTTATTATACTTCCATCGGTGTGTAAATTATAAATATTGGTAAATATATCTGTTTATATCGATCGCTAACAGCATTAAATTTATTAAAATACTAGCTGGTACCGGCGACTTCTTTCGCGTGGAATTTAAAAAGCGCTGCCTTTGTTCGATTCCAGGACCGGCCAAAATTTTGTAGGGTTTTTCTAAGAGGACAAAATAGCCTAAGTTACTCCTTTTATAGACAGCTACCTGGTAGTAAAATAAGGTGGTGGTTTTTAGGCATAGGTTAAAAAAACATATTATTTTGACATTACAAAACAGTTCAATGTTATTAATTTGTATAGATATAGAGTATAGATGAATGTGATAACGAAAACATAAATATTATCGGTGTTAAAAAATATTAAATATCCGTTTATTAAGAAAAAAACACTTGGATAGAAGTTATTCTTCTAAATCCAAACAAACTAAGCTGTCATTTAGGATATATATGCTAACTATCTTCAGTAGAGATTGAGACTAGAAAGCCAGAAACAAAAAAAAAACAGTAAGTCAAACAGTATTAGCTTAACAGAAAAAAAAAATTATAATTAGGTACTGTTACTATTAACTTTATCTATTCAGCGTTTAGGAGAAAGAAAAGTTTAGTTTAAGAAACGTCATATATCACAAATAATTTACTCAGCATCGTCCTGCTAACTCGGGTTCATTTTCAGATTTTGTGAATTTCAAGGAGAAGACCAATTCTCGTAATAAAATTTCTCTCTCAATTCAGTTCCAATCAAGTTTCGATCTCACAACTGTCATAAAAGGTGTTTTCGTAGTAAAGTATTAAACATCCAACGTTGGGTGTAATGCGATTATATCGTATTGTAACTGAAAATTCAATCGGTAATCTGCTAGTCTTAGTAATACTTTACTATGTTACTACGAAAATACCTTTTATGACAGTTGTGAGATCGAAAGTTGATCAGAACTGAATTGAGACCGAACTGCTATTACGAGAATGGCCTTCTGAGCTATCGCGAGTCGTGTTTCTACGAGTGGGGCCGATCGGTGTTGCAATATTTTAAGGGTCTTTACGTCAAATGTAATAATATCGATGTTTTTCTGCTTAACATCGATATTTTTTCTAATGTTGATGAAAATCGAAAATCCTTAGAATCGTAATAATGATTATTACCATAGCAACAACGTCGAGGATTCTTGAACGTAAAACGGAACGTGTCAGTCTCGGTGACGGATGAAAAATCGAAAAGAAATTTGCGTGTTGAACTAAACTCTTAAAAAATAATTGCATTCGAAATTATAATAAATTGTATAAGTGTCAGCGGTATAATTATCAAAATGAATAAACATAGTTATCAATATTAACTGGTTTGGTACGTAAACGTGTACATCGGCGGAAATTATATTTGTCATACTAATTGTAGACTGATTTTTGGCGATTTCAAGGTTGTTGTTTTTCAGCTCAACGTATTACAATTGTAATTGATAGTGTTACCTATTCGTTTATTTAATTATCGTCTGTCGCGAATGAACTGTATTCATTTGGCAGTGCAGTATTGTGTTAGTACTGCTCAGTTTTAACAAAATCATTATGTGTACGCGTGTACACGTCTGATCTTGGCCTTGTGTAGCTAGCTTTGCGCCTATTTATTATACTTATTGATATAAAAACCAATGGTAAATTGAATTCTCTACATTACAATACAACAACATGGGCGGTAAGTGATATCATTTGATAATCAAAAACACATCATTGAATGCTATACAGATGCTAGTTCTCAAGTTGATTTAATGGGTTATGTTTCTAGAGAACAAAACGATCATCTTCACTGTAAAATGAGAAGTGTAATATATGAATCTGATCCTGTTAATTGACAACATAAATATTGGACATTCCTGTTTCCAAACTTAAATGCACACTTGTCCAATACCTAGTGATTCAAATGTTTTACAAGATGCAGCTGAAGCAACTCATACTTTATGCATGTTGCATGCTTACGATATTTAGACTAGATCATTGAGTAATGTTTGCAGTACCTAATGTTTCTTAGTACCCCATAATTCAGGATGGTATTGCAAACTTACGAAAGAATTGTACAAAGTGCTTTAGCCTACTATAGAACATAATGCAAATAATTTGTAGTCATTTTTATTTCTCTATTCATTCTACATTTGTTTTTTAATTATAGGTTCATGTTTTGATACATGCAAGAAAGAAATGACATATTTTTTACAATGGTGCTTTAATAATTTTATCAGTCCATTTATTTCAACTCAGGAGTCTCAAAGTGATGTACCTAATTATGATTATATTTATTTACATTTAATGTTGACATAGTTAATTACATTTAGTGTTGGCACGTCTGTACTGTAGAAATTATAAGTTATCTCTAACTTTGTTATCACTTGTCCCATGAATTTATTTAGTCATACAGCAAATACATAATGTATATTGTTGTAATCATTAGAAATAAATCTCTCAGTAAAATTATCACTTAATGACAGATAAAACAAGAAGTTAATTGGCTAATAATGGTTTCTGAATGTTTTGATATCTTACACAATGGAAAGATGTTTATTAATCATCATAATTAAAGTTATTTATTTTGTAAGAATATAAGCTTTTTATGTAGTGAACTACAGATACATTTTCTTTGTTATTCCAGTGGGCTCCCCCTTTACTAGTCTTATTTTGTCTCATCAATGTGTAAAATTGTAATCACAATGAAATAAAATGGGTGTGTATACAAAAAGGTTAAAAATACCATAAAAGTGGGCCATAAAATTAAATGTACATAAAATATGTTTTATATAATATAAAATGTGCCATTTTCCCCTAAATGTAACCATAAATCTCAAAATTTGTTCTTTATTTTAAATGTAGATACATTTATGCTTGCTTTTGAACATTTCAGCAATATTTAGTTAGTAATTTTTATGCTTTTCATTCATATTCACTATTTGTGTAGTTTTTATTTCAAGGGTAATTTCTGGTGCTGTGTACAATCTATACCAGCAATTTACTGACTTGACTGCACAGATGGCGTAGTAGTTTAAGAGGTCACCCTACCGCTTCCTACTGCGCTGAGTATTATGGGTCCAATCCAATGTGATCCATAAATTGTTGTTCTGAATGTCCGTTTCATGTATGTTTGTAAAGTCCCTGGCGACATGGGATATATATTCCTAGTGCGGGAGTTGTCTTACCATTAATTTACATTCTATTAGGACCTAAAGCTGGATATGCCCATGAATGTAAGTTACTACAAACCTATGTAATTTGAAAAGATGTTTGGTGTCTTTAAAGTTCAGGAACTTATTCTATAATCTATGCCATGGGTAAACTTCAATTAAACTAAATAATGCTAGTCACACTAGCAACACAGCATCAGAAATAAATCTTTCAATGAATTGATTTATCAAATCAGTTTGACAGTGAAATTTTTATCTCTCACTTAGATAAGATAAATATGTATTTTATTTTATACATTATTTTTTTACTCTTGCTGTTTATGCATAAACTAATTGTTGCTGTTTTTTGTAAACAGGGGGTAACGGCTCAGGCCAGGGGAACGAGACAGAGGATGAAGATCATGAATTCTTTGATGCAGTGGAAGAGGGTGTCTCGGGAACCATGGATGAGAATTCCTTTGTAATTAAAGTACCTGTAAGTAGTTATTTAAAACATAAGTATATATTTGTATATATAAATGTAATGCTCTCTGTATTTTCTCAGTTCATTAATTTAAAAATAACTGCTTATTATAAAAGAATGCAACCAGCACTCATATCTAACTAAAATATGTTGCCATATAAATATGTTTATTTTTCTGTCTAATGTTTTTTCTTACCCTTACATAAATGGTAATAAGTCATCCTAATAATATAATCACTATTATCAAGGGTTATGGTTCAAATTCCAATCACACAATTTTCTATTATTTTGTCTATTTCCTGTACAAAATATTTTGAATCAGTGTCATATTCAAGTACTAGAAGGAAAAATGCACAATTGTGTAGTTGACATGCATTCCTGTGTTAGTATTTTGAATATATGTGTGGGTAAAGAGAATTGGTTAGGTCATTCCAGTGTCATCTGATGACAACAGAAATGATAATTGTTAGTGTACAGTACGAGATGACCTTGAATGTATTGCAGAAAGTGGAAGCAAAATATGATCCTATTTTAGTTTTTGCATTTATTACCTTAAGACTTTAATAGTCAAAATTTAATTATTATATTAGTTTTAAGTCTTATTTCACTATTTTTGATTTATAAATGTATTATTGCTCCTGTTTGATCTCAATATAGACAGTATAGAGTGAACCTAAATTTAAAAACAACAATAACAACTTAATAAGGCACCTGTTACTGTATAAATGAAAACTGTTGGACTTATTTATAAATATTGAGCTTCAAAGTTAGTTTATGGAACATGCATTAGAAATTGTTATACATAATAATTGTTTATGCCTATAAATACCTACACAACCTTATCAAAAAGAAAGTAGAATCTAACAAAAAGTCCATGTTTTGTGATAAGAAAGTTACTGGCTCGAATTCCTCTGAGTGCAACTAGATCCTAACACTAGCATTATCGTTTAGCTGGAAATGCTGAAAAGAATATTAGTAATATGTGACACATATGACAAGAAGGACTATACATTTTTCTGACAAAAACTTCCTCTCAGAAAAATTACAGTCCTCACATAAACCTCCATTTTTTAAATCTTTTACTTTTGGACAGGAGATCACTAAATGACAGCTATTTCTCTGCTGTTCTACTTTATTACTAATTATAGTTTAATGTATCAAATACAGAATTGTTAGTAAATTGTATTTAAGTCACCGCAGACAAGGTTCAATTAGTGTTTTTAAGATAGTTATAAAATAAGTTGCCCTATTTTTCCCTAGTGTGTTAGTCTTCATGCTGTGATACGTTTTAATCATGCTCGTTGTTCATGGTCATGTGTGTAAATTACAGGTAAATAGGAAAAACAAAGTAAAAAGCAACGAAAGCTCAGATGAATCTGAGGGTGAGACCGTCACTGAGACTCAACAGGTTAGTGTAATTATTACATTGTGTTGCTTTAAAATTTAAATGGACGTATTTGATGTAAACATAAAACTCTTAAAGAGGATCTAAGAAGCGTTATGTTATTCTTTTGGTCAAGGTTTACCTACAATAAACAAACCTAATTATGTATGATTCACTAGCATCTATATAAATACACATTATAAAATACAAGTGATAAGAGTTTTAGATGAAGAACAGTGTCCAGGGATAATTTAGGACACTAAAAGTACGATTCTTGCAGTTACATTACTGAAGTGACAATAATAAAATTTTAACTATAAGCTTTGTAAAATTTAATCATGTATTAAAAATTTATAGAAATCAATATATGTTTATATTTAAAAGTAATCGGGTAGAGCTGATACAATACCTACCTATTTTACTGCAATTATAAACTATTTGTGGAGCTAATTGCTATAATTAAGACGACAGAACAATTTAATTTCTAAGTATTTTGTCAAAAGTATCTTTAAGTATCTGAAGAAAGAGGAAATAATATTGCGCCTCTTCGATGTCTTCTTTTCTGTTTCAGTCGTTGTCAGCGCGTAAATTATGTTTAGACAAATTACTGTTTTGTTGGTAGTCTCAGAAACAGTTTTGTTTATTAATTTTTACTACTCATGAATGGCATGCAAACGTTAAAAGTTTTAATGTGATGCTAATTTACTAGTATCGTAGATGATTTACTTTTATGCCCTGCTCAAAATAAAAATTTCTTAGTCCACTAAAGAAGTAACTATGTAAAACTTACGGTCCTTGAAGCTTGGCTATGCAACAGCAAGCACAGTAAACATATTGCGATAAACATTCATCGAACCCAGAATAGAATAGTTCAAGTATTCTGTTTTACTATTTAACTAACTATTCTGTGGTGAAACCAGTTCATAGTAAATGCACACAAATGATTTTGCATTTTGGGCAATTGATGAAAACCAAATTTTATATTAAAGAATAGGAGTTAAAAATAATAAAATGTTTAGTATTTTATTTGTATTATAATATATACATATTATTACATAATATATATGTTATTAAATATACATCACATTAATATCTTGGTATCCTGGATTGTAATTAGAGCCTTTTTTAATCCATATTAATGTGCAGGTTTTGAAAGTGGTCTTAGCAATGCGTTTATTAATTTTGCTTATTAACTAAATTTGCATTAGGGTTCGAAATCAAGTTCTTGTCTACTAATACTATAACTTCGACTATTCTGTCGGTAGACACTTATAAGTGCTGTCACAGTGACTTAAGTAAATACTATTTCACTATTCAGGTAATATTCATGGAAGACAAAGAGGGCGCTGAAAGCGCTATGGGTGGTACAGATGCAACAACTCAATCTGAAAATGACTCGACAGATCCTAAGCCGCCTGAGAATAAGGATCAGGATATTAAAATATGGGTAAGTGTTATATCTATCTATGCAGTCTGTTGCACCCACTGCTAGGTAAAGGACTCTTCTCTATAACGCCACTCCTGGCGGTTTTGTACCAGCCGGATCCATTGCTCTTCTACCGCCCTCACAATGTCGTCTGACCAAGTAACAATATATAATTAATAGGTAAGTCTTACTACCTAATAGTTGTGACCACTTAGACTACACTAGAGTTCAATGTTTTCCTTATTATTGTTGATTAATAGTGTTAAATTATTTATTAATTATTATAATAGTAAATAATTATTCACTTAATGAAAAAATAATCATAAAGTTTGTAAAAAATAACAAATACACATTATATAGCCTTATTTTCCTAAAGGATAGACTACTCACTGCTTGAAAGTGTAATTTTTATATGCACTAAATCTATCCAAGCTCTAAATTGCATGCAGGTATTGAAAAATACTGTATTTTGTCCAATGCGTCACGATCAGAGCGAGATTAACGAATGAATGTAATATTTTGTGTTGCAGCCTCACGTGACACAAACCACATCGATGGTGGACGGTCACCCGCGGCGGACGAGGGTTCCCGACAAGCCCAATTATCCACTTAGTTTATGGTCCATTATGAAGAATTGTATAGGTAAGATATTCAAAATATACTCTGCGTTCACTATACGTATAGATAAAACATAAGGCAGAGATTCTTTAGATAATATTTTGGTTCTACCAAATCGCCAACTGTTGTAATCATCATCTTTATCATATAAGGAATACTAATAAGTACTGACACTGAGAAATGTGTTATGTGTCTAACAGGCAACAAGGGCATTTTAAGTTTTTCTTTCTATTTAATCAGACTAGTATTACTTTTGATATCTAAGTATACTGAAATATAGAAACATCTTTATTGGAGATAAAACGGTTTTATTCACGAGTGTATTTCGGGGATACGAAGGGATCCTTTTTAAGGAGGAAACCGCAGTGCCAACATGCAAACCAGTATGCATGGCAGTATTTATTCTATTATAGGACTTGCAGGGCTCATGTGTAAATAGGAGTATGATAAAATAGGATATATATATAAATGACATTTAATCCAATATATATTAGATGCTTGCGGCGCTATTCTTGACCTAAACGTCGTCCAATTATGTCAGGCTACGAACACTTATATATCCGTTATAGTTTTGGATTCTGGGTATATTTGCTGATAGAGTTGATGGGTCTACACATTAGTTGAGTCAAGTAGTTAAGAAATAAATCGTAGTTTATTTTGTCTTTAAGAAAATTGTTGTAATTTTCTTAAAGACGCTTTGTAGTATATTTTTTCTTGCGTTATACACCCTCACTTCCTTGTAGTGTAATTTTCTTTAAATATCCGCTATTACGCAACAATAACAGCGGATATGCAAAACATGGAGCAATTTCAAAGGCTTTCTGAAAATATTTCAAAGATATATTTCTATGTTGCTCGTTCTTAGTTCTTTAATTTCACAGGACACAGGACTTTAAAAGAGACGATAATCCCTGAGTTTGTTTCGTCCTTTCTTCTCAAAGCTAGCCCAATTAGAAAAGGCCGAACTTATCTGCTTTAAAAAAGTTTGACTTGTGAAAGTGTTCTTGTAACCTATTTGCAGAATAAAAGATTTTATTTTATTCTCAAGTGTGTTAAATAACGTTGTATATTTAAAGCATTACCAAATTTAAAAAAATCTAAAATATAGAAACCAATGTATGTCAGTTTGTATTTTCATCCGATCACCACGAAGAAGAAAATATCAAAAAATAACATTAATAGAACAGAAAGGTACCCTTTCATGCTGAGAAAAGTATTGCGCCAGAGGTCTGGAAAGCTACTATTACGATATGTGGCTGCGGGCTAAGACTGGTACATATCTCATAAGAAAATACGTTATTTAAAAAGAAAATTCTTTATTAAAAAAGCGCACGTTACTCTTTTTTCTGCGCTTTTGGAGCACGGCATTAATTGTTTTACTATTTATTTAAATAGGTAAAGAATTATCGAAAATCCCGATTCCGGTAAACTTCAGCGAGCCATTGTCGATGTTGCAACGATTGACGGAGGACTACGAATATTCGTGTATCCTCGACCAGGCCGCCAAGTTCAGCGACCCCGCGCAGCAGCTGGCCTACGTCGCCGCCTTCACGGTCTCCAGCTACGCAACCACGGCTTGCAGGTCAGACACCTTACGTAATAGGCTAAACTAAAAGCCACTGTGTTTATAACTACGCCAAAGTCAATGTTTTTCTTGTATGAATCATCTTTCTACTTCATTATGAAACCGAAACACGGCATAATAAATTACATTACAAACCGGTTTTTCATACATCACAATATCCTCTATGCATTGTACTAAGTTTTGTTGCTAGCATTGCACTGAAAATAAATGCGTTCAGTATGGCATAGTGTCAACACACAAAAGTATTGTACTTAGTTTAGTAGATTTAACACTTTGTAATACAAAATTAAGGTGTTCTAAATTATAGTTACTGAAGAATTTACTTGATTGTTCTACTTGGTATGTATATTACAGTCTTAGAACATTAAAGATTTTTGAACAGAGAAAATGATAAATAAGCAACTTTCTATTTTCGTGGCATTTTCCCTTTTTTATTACTTCATACTTTAGTTATTTATCATATAGTTAACTACTAGTCCAAATATATTAAAATAATAGTAGCCTATTGTTATATTATATTATACTAGCTGACCCGCGCAACTTCGTCAGCGTCTTTCAATAGTAATAAATTTTCTCCGTTTATGAAACATTCTTCATTGGTGCTCCGCTCCTATTGGTCTTAGCGTGATAATATATAGCCTTCCTCGATAAATGGGCTATCTAACACTGAAAGAATTTTTCAAATCGGACCAGTAGTTCCTGAGATTAGCGCGTTCAAACAAACAAACAAACTCTTCAGCTTTATAATATTAGTATAGATTTGAACTTAATATATCCAATCTTACACATTTCATAAGTCGAAATTCCTTAAGTAATAGAAAAGCGCTGATGATCTTCAAATGTCTGGAAAGATTTTCTTGACAATGTCCTAAATAAATGAAGTTAACATATTACGTACTTTGTGTAACACAGAACAAACAAGCCCTTCAATCCGTTGCTCGGCGAGACGTACGAATGTGATCGTATGGCAGACCTCGGCTGGCGGTCGATATCCGAGCAGGCAAGTGGACATCATCGTTAGTGAACTCTGTTTATTCTTCACTTTACCCCGCTCTAGGGCATTCCTTATATACACATATGCAATTGATCATCAATATAAGGTGGAATCGATATATATATACGTACTTAGTTAAAAAGGTTTTATTAAAAATCTTTAGAGGAGTAACATCTGTGTTATGTGACTAAAAACTGCTGGGATAAACGTGGCCGGCCATTTAATATGTGGCTTTTCACATATTATTAAAACAACAAGATTTATAATAAAAATGGTCATTTACATTAGAAATGACAACCAGTGAACATAGTTAACTATCAATGGATCGTGACCGAGAGACACTCGTGCTAAAAATAAACCTGTGTTAAAAGTGTAGTTGGAGTTGAATAGCTCAAGACGTCATCTTTATGTTGGTTAATATGTTTCAAGGCCAAGGTCCACTTCTCCTCATTGTAAAAGTGTTTTTGTTTTGCTTATCATTACTAAGGAGTATAAAATGGCAGTTACAAAATTACATGCTACTCATTTAATAACACTTGTCGTACTAGTCGCTTCCACCCTATATAGAATTAAGTCAAATGTTTAATGGGTATTAACAAACAAGTGATCACATAAGATTAAATTATATACACGTTGTACATATGCTTTGATTACATAAAGTAGTTTGTGTAATCGGATCATTGCTGTGTGCTGATGACTGCAGTTAATTGCATTTAAGTATAATGTTGAATAATATCATTATATAAAAATATAATAATTATTAGTTTGAGACCTAACGAGATCAGTAAGCACAACATAACTTTAAATTGTCTCACGTTTCGACCAGGGCCTTAATTTTTCTATTTTAATATTGTATCAATAGACTAGCGATGGAATGTCGACGGAATAGTTTTGCACTTTCGTATTCTTCTAACAATGGCCTTCTGATGACTTCTCTTGACTTTTCGCTGAACTGCCACTGATACAAATGTCGTCGATGTCTTTAAATTTGGAGGGATATTATCATTGATAAGCCATTCTCACTACATCTACAGTTTGGACAACGTGATTTTAAAATACCGATATTTAGACCGATGTCAATGGCATCCCAACAGCATGGCAATGGAATGATAGTGGCTTGTACGTTGACATAAAATAGCAGAACTGAGGCCCAGGTTACATTTGCCGTGTTCGCAGGCGTATCCCTCTGGTGACCATAGCTGGTATAACCAAACTATAAACAACATTTTAATGTTTTGTAATGATTCAAATATTTAAAAGTAACATTTAAAATGTTATTAAAATTAGTTCAGGATTGTAAGATGTAATATATTCTACAATTTCTCACATACACTAACGACATTTGCTAAGTGCAATTTCATGAAGTTAATAATCTCTCGTTAAAGCGTATATTTGTATCAGACTGAAATATTAATATTCTATTTTTCAAAAAACACAAAAGGTTCACTTAGCAACTACCTTTTTAGAGGGACTAAAAAGGTAGTTGTTAAGTGAACCTTTTAAGGGAACACAACAACAGAAGTTGACACTAAGAAGATATATTCATTTGTATTTTGTATATAATTCATTTATTTATGTGACATTTGTTTGTTGATAAGCTTTCTACACCAAATTCTCAAAATACTTACCCAATGACAGACTTAAACGCACTTCACGTACTTTTTGGGTAAAAAAATTTGAATGAAATCCCTCTTAACACGAACATCTCTTCAACCTGCCTCTACTTTCCCTTCCGCACTCCCATCCTCCCAGCACTAGCTTCTACCTCTGCGTCAAGTTCAACATTTGGCCACTACATTAAAAATTAAATTCGAAATTTATAGGTGTCTCATCATCCCCCAATGGTAGCTCAATTCACCGAGGGGCAGGCAGGTTGGCAGTGTTGGCAGGAATTTACTATGACAACTAAATTCCGAGGCAAATACCTACAGGTCATACCGCTAGGGGGCGCCTCAGCAATGTTCCCTAGCTCTGGAAACAAATACACGTGGAGGAAGGTATGGGGAATGGAAAATATCGGCTCTGAGCCATTCGGCTAGAATAGATTACTATGCCTAGCGATTTTTAAACTTTATCTTCTAAATCTCTTTTTGACATCTAGATTGTCGATAATCTTTATACAACTTTTAATTGCCGTACAGGTTATCATTCGATTAAAAAATATTTCGCAAGTAATTTAACAAATTGTTTAAAACCTGTTACCTTTAGATTAAAACCATACTTTAGTAATCAATGATATTATTTTTTAATTATTTAGTTTTTTAGTAATTAAATAAATTGAAATTTATTGTCAATGTTTAAAAGGAGATATAGAAGGCTTTTATGGTGGTGGTTTCTAAATAAGGTGTATTGATAGGTGGTGGACTTTTAGGTGACAACACAGAGAGCAAAGCAGCATTTATAGGTGGGTTCTAGAGGTCTCCTGTAAGCAGAGGCAGGGTGAAGCGGAACATGTAGTTCAACACATTAGGGTACATGGAATCAAAGTTTTCTATGAATAACTGTGGAATCAGTTTTTGTGACGTCATTTAATGGCTGTTATTACGAATGTGACGTTAATAATATGAAATTGTTATGACAATGTTATCATGTACCCTAATAGAATTTGTAGGCAATGTACAAATGTACAAATAATTTCAGAATAATTATTATACATGATTACATTGTCTACAAGGCATGTACATAGGTAGGTACACAGGTTTGTTCTCATTTTCCATAAATATCTTAAACTCTTTGCCACTCACCCGGAAATATTTAGATCTCTAAGATTGTATTTTAATAGAGTAGAATTAACCTGTGATTTCAAGATCACACTACATGGATTAGCCAATGTTTTAGAAGACGATTAAACCTTGTAAATTGTGAAATATAAATACATAACAAAAGTTTTATTGTTAAGCCATTACAAAAGTAAATAAAGTAGACACAAAAACTGTTCAAGTACTCGTTTGTGACATGACCACTTCCACAATATACATAGAAATTAAACTCCCAATTTTGCTTTATGGCTGTTCCATTCAAATTGTAGTTATTTACTTCCATTTAAAAAATGACGAATAGAAGTCCAATTAACTTTGCCCACTCTTAAATTCACTAATGTCTTACAAATTTAATCGCTGACAATATGAAAAAATACATACAATAAAGGAATTAGATAGATGTTTCCTAGGAGTGGCTTATGAGTTAGGATGTCGGTGGCCCCAAGTAGCGGTAGCGGGTAATCGTGACAGGTGAGTACGTAGGTGTCGCACCACCCGCCCTCCTCGGCCGTGCACTGCGAGGGCGTCGCGGGCTGGCAGTGCTCGCAGAACATCACGCTCACCAGCCACTTCCGAGGACAGTTCATCTCCGTCATACCCCAGGCTGACTCCTTCGTGTATTTCCCTAGGGGTAATTCTTATCGCTATAGAAAGGTACTATTTTTTATTCTTTTATTTATTCTTGACAAAATAGAGATTGTTGCTATTGTGTGTTGATCTATGACTTTAGACATAAGGAACTACATAAGAGATTTGAAACAATTTTATTTTTTTTATGAAATAAAGATTGTTTGAGTTTGTTTGTTTGACTAAAATATATGTATAGTAGATTCGTTTTTACCAAGCGATTGAATGACGGTGACATAATTTTCGTACCCTATTAAACATGTTAAGTAAAAGAAGATAGATAAGTATTCGATATTTGTATGTTATTTGATGCGTGCAGGTGACAACGACAGTTCACAACATAATTGTCGGCAAGCTGTGGGTGGACAACCACGGCGACATGGACATAGTGGGCGAGGCGGGCCCGGCCAACGGCTACGTAGCGCACCTCAAGTACGTGCCCTACGGCTACTTCAGCAAGGACACGCAGAGGAAGGTCACCGGGGTCATCAAGGATCCGCAGGGCGTGGTAAGTACGCTAATACATTTAGAAAACATTAGAACGTTAACTAATATAGTTATCATTAAAATGAACTAGGGTAAGATCGATCTTAATGGTTCATCATTACTTCAACAATTCATCCGCAAGTTTAAAAGAAGCCTACTTAACAGTTTCTTAGTACCCCTCTTTGTAAACTGCTTAATGTATTACTGTATTGTTATTATCCAATTAAATCCAATTATTAAAGTTATAAATTTAATTTAATTACTATTGGACGGTGTTGTTGTACTGTTTGACATTTTAATTATGACTAACTAAGCCTTTGCCCGCGGATCCGCCCGCGTAAAAAGTAGTATATGTTACATATACAGCTTTCCATTGGTGAAAGAATTTATGAAATCGGTTTAGTGTTTTAGGCGTAAAAGCTAACAAAAAACAAACTCAGTTTCAGATTTATAATATACCAACGATCCGCCCCGGCTTCGCACGGGTGCAATGTAGATTTTATACTACTAATGAGGCGTAATTAATTATACAATTATGATAAGACTATAGTCTACAGGACTTTCTAATTAAATACGTTACATAGGCTGTAAAGGGTAATTTTGATCTACATTAAATGGACAAGGAGTAATGCTGTATTGTTCAAAATAGCTCAGTAAAAACCCCTTTTTTTATTTGCAAAAGATTAAAATGGTTACTGATGGTTATCCTTAGGAGAAAGACATATATCATCGCGGACTTTTTTGTAGTTTTTTTTAAGATATACAATTCTATGGTACATTATTTGGATCTATATTTTAAGGTATAGCCAGCGTTTGCAATGTGAACTCACAAAAACACGTTTTTTACGACTTTACATTACAAATGTTAGAAATTCTCGGATTTCTTCTTTAATATGCATGTATTATACATATAACTACCACTTGAAACACTTTCTATTGGTTAAAACTGCATTAAAGTCCGTTGCTTAGTTTGATAGATTTGTGTACAAAAAAAAAACGACTTCATTTGATGTAAAAGTACGGATATTTTATTAATTACCGTGGGAGAGCAATGCTTGGGCTCATGGGCTGGACTCGACTGAAAATTGGTTCCTTTATTGTTTTTGAGTGAGGTTACCGACGGGTTACCTCTTGAGCTATCTCAGACATGGGCGGCGGTACTCACCTATTATTAGGTGGTTCGTCTGCTCGTTTGCTCCCTATGTCATAAAAAAATGGTGCTTCGACTCGCTCTAATTTTTAGCTCTATGCGAATCGTTGCAATCTTTCGATCAGGCTGTAAAGGTAGCGACCTAAACAGTGATCGGATCGGTCACGATCGACATTAGATACTCGCACTTGTGCTGCATTAACGGTATTCGGTCGTCGACAGCCACGCTACGTACTGCAGGGATACTGGGACAGCCGCGTGGAAGTAGCACCCGTCACGAGCGCCTCGCCCGACAACACCGTCTGCAAGACCGGCAAGTTCACCGTCGCCTGGGAGCGAGTGGCCGCCCCGCCCGACTCCGACAAGTGAGTACTCTGCCTCCCTTCCTTCCGCTCCCCGTCGCCACCGCCGTTCGGCCCTACGTTAACGGTACGACGCGCTCGCAGGTGGTACAACTTCACGCTGATGGCGGCGCAGCTGAACGAGATGGAGGAGGGCGTGGCGCCCACGGACTCGCGGCGGCGGCCCGACCAGCGCCTCATGGAGGAGGGGCTGTGGGACGAGGCCAACGCCGAGAAGCTGCGCCTGGAGGAGAAGCAGCGCGGCGCGCGGCGGCAGCTGGAGGCGGCGGCCGAGGCGGCGGCGGCGGGCGGCGCGCCGGCCCCCGCCCCCCCGCGCCCGCTGTGGTTCACGCGCGCCGCAGTGGCCGCGCTGTCGGCGCACGCCACGCACCAGCCGCACCTGCGCCACCTCTACAACCACCGCTACTGGGACTGCAAGCGGCGCCAGGACTGGGCCGCCTGCCCCGACATCTATTAGCGCCGCCGCTCCCTCTGTTTATTGTTTCTCTATGACGTCGCCGACGTACGGTCCGCGCGTACGCCCCTCCTAGTTTATGACGCCGTCTCGTAGACGAGTTTAACCTGGCTCTTTTAGACGTTCGCGAGCACCGCTTCGAATCTCCTCGCCGAAACGGGCGACGGACTACCTCTAGGTCGAAAAGTAACACTATTCCCCGTCGAAAATTCGAGATAGACTTACCGTAACCGACTGACTCACTGGCGGAGCGAAATGTTTGAGGATATATAATCCTGCGATTTTAGTTGTACGTTTATCTTCCATAGAAGCCAAGGAAAATTACTCAGTAGACGTGGTGATTGTATAAAATCGGGTGCTTCTAATAAACAGATTTCAATTTAATACATAATAATAATCATCGCTACTAACCTAAAAAGTGACAGATGTCTACCGAAGAGTTAAATCGTTAAATACGGCAATACCGAACTTTATTACTATTTAAAAATAAAACACAATTATGTAAGCTCACTAATGATGATGCTCGCTAATGACTACACATTACGTGTACTACCCTGTTTTTAAAAAACTCTTCACGCGAACAGTTTCTGAATTCAAACGAATGCATAAAAAAATAAAAACGGTTACAGGCAATATAACGATTTAATTCTTAGTATCGGGCATTAATCGAAGCTCTTCACGTCCTTATAGAAAGTGTCGCGTCGTAAAACTATCTTTTAATGCCTTAACGTAGGAGCAATAGAGCATTAATTTAGTAAGTGTTACATGATGAGGCGTTGATACCGCCCGCCGCGACTGTGGTGCCGGTGCTGAGTTGTGTCGATGTGTTGTCAGACGACGCCGTGGTATCAACTCGTTGGGCTCTAGGATATTTTGTAAGGTCTATTACAAATGTACATTTTCAAGTGAATGTAAGATAATTTGTTAATATTTTTATTATAATAGAATGATATTTGAATACGAAGCCATAAACATCTGTATCATGTTGATTATGAAGAATAAAATATAATGTCACAGAATATTGCATTTATTTTTAAATTAGCTAAATATATCGAAAACTTAAATCTAAATATACAGATAGAAATTGTTCAATTTCAAAATTGAGACAACGTTGGCGTGATGGTATAACTAAACATGCCAACCTATCTGATTTAATTAATTGATGACATTTCGGGATGTATGATTATTTGTACACTGCATAATGAGAGTTAGAGATACACTATGTCCTGCCAATAGTGTGTCTCTAACATAATCCTAAGACCTGTAATTAACCATATTTACAGATATAGTTGTTTCCGCAAATAAATGATGATTATGATCATCTTGGTTGATCCATTCAGTTGCGCGAGAGTTAGCTGCGAAGCATCGACACGAGTTTGCTCTTACTTTATCTTATCTTACTATATCTATCTATATGATATCATTATTCACTCGCAGCTGGCCAGCGGACCAGTCAGGGGCGGATTTACCAGCAGGCTGATTAGGCTGGAGCCTAGGACGGCCTAAAATTAGTTTTTGTCGTACAGAAATAAAAAAAGACATTATTATATAGGTACGCGGTGAAAAGAAGTCTCCGAAATTTATCAAAAATTACTATTTAAAATATTATTTTAAATAGTAATTACTATTAAAATATTCCGATAGCATTTTCATACTTTTAATATTCAAATCTCGTTTTAATACTTTTAATATTACAATTTAAATCCATTTATTATTATATTTATTTAATTTAAATTTTTATTTTAACTTATGCTCACTTTTTTACTAATCATTACGGCGGCATGAGGCTTTGGAATACGCGCCTTTCTCCCGGGCCCTCTCCGCCGCCACCGCCTCCTGGATGCGACAGCGATAAAACATCTAGGTCTACCGGCCATGGCACGTATTACGGCCGCCTACGAGACATCATTTCTGATGACTGCATTGGTATTGGTGGTGGGATCCAGTTGCCGCATCTAGGCTCAGGGACGGTCCATTATGCGTCATGGTGAGGTTGGCTAGGTGATCCTACCTAGCTCCTTCCAGAAGCGCAGTAGCCTCTTTGGGCGTTCACAGGCTTCTAGGAGGGATTTCGTACCAGGTATGATACTTGTCCGTTGTGTAGGCACTCCCTCGCATTCCAGGATTACGTGGGCGGCTGTTTCCGTCCGTTTCCGTTGAGTCCGTGTGGTGATTAAGAATAAAAATTGTCACCACCCCAATTCATCCCGTGGGTGTCGTAAGAGCCGACTAAGGGAGCAAACTAAGCAGGACAACAGCACTGCAAAGAGAAGGAAAACTTGAAACAAACTCTACCAACCCGTCTGGCCAGCGTGGTATAGTAGGCCAAAACCTCCTTTCTAAGGAGAGGCCTATGTCCAGCAGTGGACTAGTATAGGTTGTTGATGTGGGCGCCCGTTTCCTCTGCTTTGACACATCATCTGCCAACTGGACTGACTGTCGCATTGAAGGTGAATAGTTGTTGGTTCAGAGCTAGGTGACCCGTTATCGTTCCAACAACTGCAAGTAAGTCGTGGTGAGACTTCAGTCAGAACCACTTTGAACTGCCTGCAGCCGGGTGTGTTTTTCCACCTTCGGTTGTGGCCTTCATGAGTATGTTGCCTCATCCAAAATCGGAGCTGGTTAAAAGACAGTGGCAATAGAGTGGGTGGACCAGCAGCTGGTGTAGCCGAGCCCCATCTTGCCAGCTCATCTGCGGTGTCGTTGCCGTGGGAATTTTTATACCCTTTTTATCCATTACACAAGCATCCTATTTGTCGTGGCTAGCTGCTCGTAAGCTTGATGACATTCAAGTGCTAAAACGTCAAATGAAGCGCTGCCTTGACCCGTCGCAGTGGGAGGCAGTGGCGGCGGATAGGCCACTGGGAAGGCGTACTGTGTGCACTAAGGTGCTCGAATTCGAAAGACTACGGAAAGAAGAGCTCGATGCCAAGGGGGATGAGCTCAAGGCCCGACTTATCAGGGTGAATAGACTTGCAGTGAATGTGGACGCACGTTTACGGCAAAAATCGGTTATGTCAGTCACCTGAGAGCACATCAACGAGGCTATCATTAATCAGTGTCAAGTCGCCGTGGCCGAATACGGTCTAGATTCACACACACACTATGCCGGAGTTCACGATGTTGCCCTCCAGTGCTTTTAGGACAGCCATGCTATCTGACATTATTCGTATTTTATAATCTCTTTAGCCCCTTGACATGACGACGCCCAAGCACTGGGGGCTGTAACTCAAGTTTCATCGGCGTAACAAATTACGCTCAGCCGGTGAGGGATGGGGGAAGTCTCCTCAAAACCCCCAGTCGTACCCAATGCACTACAGGAGGACTCTTGTGGACCACTTTACGACATTGGCTGGCGCCTCAAATATCCATCTTGGTCCTCATACATGACGATACGCTCCTCTAAATAGTCTGCCACCTCAGGTACTCTGGCACCCCTTGACAGTGGAGTGCCTCCCTGATGTAGCTAAATGGCATGGTATTGAATACGTTGGCAATGTCAAACGACACCGCCAACAGCACGCCACCGCGGCTCCCTGCCTCTTCAGTCACGATCCTGAGGCGAGGCGAAAATCGAATTGAATGTCTGACAGATCGAGGCCCACCTCACAGAGGTGCCGGACGATGCGGGCAGAGAGAACCCTCTCAAAAAATTTACCCGCCTCAAGAAAGCCTGCCAATAGGCTGAACGCTAACTTGGCTTAACAAGACCAGCTTCCCGCTCTTCCAACACTCAGGGAAACGTCCAGAAGCCAAGTTAGCGTCGAACACCTCCCTGAGGGGTCTGACTTGGGTTCGAAGGGCTAGGGCCAGCACTCGGCGGTGGCCATCCAAGGGTGTAATTTGGTAGTTTCCTACTACCAAATTTAAATGTTTAGTTTAAGATAGCAAATATGTATAAAACTGGTTGGTTGGTTAAATAGTAAATGAAATATTAGCACAATAGCAGGAATCCCACCTGGATGGTATGAAAGGCAGTGTAAAAGAAAAATATAGTATAAAGAATGAAAGTACGAACAGTAGCTAATGATAGAACTTGAATGAATGATTAGTGTAGATAATAGGCTCCAAATATACATTGGAGTTGCTAGAAGGCAGTGAAACCCTACGATGGCGGGGCATTAAAATAAAAATTACGGCCCAAGGGGGTTCCCACACATAAAATAAAAAAGGGTATTAGATTGATTTTTTTTAAATGTGCCGTTAATCTTACTTGACACTTGGCTGTGTTGATTTGCATCGTGAGATAAGTGTGATGTTCTGTATATTGTGATTGTTCGTGATACTAGAACTTAATTCTTTCAAATAGATAGTTATATAGACATAATAGATTTTTAGACATACCTACAGAAATTGTGGTTAGCCTACTCGAACATTGTATGAGATAACATTATTTTTGAGATTGCGCGTGTTGTTAATTGTTCTGAGGGTAAAAAGATACGTCCTTCTGAAGAGGTTAACATGTTAAATAAATTGATGTTCTCGCCAAAATCCTAGCACTCACAGATAATGAGATATATGGGTACAAAGTAAGTATAAGTCTTAAGTTTTAAAGAAATATTCAAGAATAAAGAAACAACAAGTGTACGCAACAACTTCCAAGGTGCATATTTCGTAAAATATTACTCTGTAGCTTATAGTTCGTTATTCGACATATTTTGTTAAATTTAGCCTTTAATTGACAAAAAGAATTAAATCCCTAAAGTAAGTAGTTGCCGAGATCTCCGTGGCCGCGCAATCCTCCACGTTTCGTTGGCGCGGCCAACTTAAAACCCTTATAACTTCTTTATTTCTACTTTGACAAATTTTCTCTGAAAATCAATTTCTTCATGTCTACTTGTAACAATGGACCTGTTCAGATTTCAAGTAACTGGAGCTTAGCAACAAACGTTTGTGGACACTTGTCTTGTATAGATCAATAAACTGATTTTGCACTTAACAGAGTAGTAGGTAAGTCGAGGGCCTAGTGTGAGTTTATTTGACACTAGCTGACCCGCGCAACT